GTTATATTATTAGACATTAGTATCCTTGTACAACAACTGTACCTATAGACCAATTACCATCGAGTTGAGGAAAAGAAAACTGCTGACCATGAAATTCCAATATAAAATGAAGAAACAACTAACTTTAAACATATAAAATAATGTTTATGTAGTTCGGTATTAGGTATACCTACCCAAGTATTCTTCTTATATCTTACTTCTTATTGTTCTACTTCTCGTGTCTAATTTAAGGTTAAGAACATGCGGTAGTAGTAATAGTATGGTACATAATTTAATATAACATGGTAAATGGTAATGGTAAATACAAATAATATTTTTGGAATTACCGTTGGTCATTTTATGAATTGCAAATAACATTCGTAATTCTTAAACTGGTTTGTTAAAAATTATATAATAATTATTTTTAAGAAATTTAACGTGAATAATAGAATCTGAATCATCAAAATGTCGAAGAATATATTTAAAAGTATTTAACTATATAGTTTATCCTTCAAATATTTGTCGTATTGAAATTATCTTATTTATAACATACAAATTACAAACATTATCATATTATACAAGCACCTATCTATAATACAAGATTTAACTTTGTAGGAAAATAATTCCAACACTGCTGTTGTTTACGACTTACCCGTTCCTTAAGTTTATAGTAATATAACTATCATACATTTATTATTAGCATATTATTTTTTATATTGCCCACCTAAAAACTTAGAATTAATAATTTTTTACGACCATTAAAGATTAAAAACGAAGGTATTTGTACAATATTTCAAATATGTTTTTTCATAAATATTAGATTTGATTAGGTATACGATTATTTTTCACTTTCAATATATACGTTATATGTATATAATATATATGTGTATAGTGTATATACTTTATCTATATATGTGTATCTGTGTGTTACTATTGTACAATGTTATATAATGTACGTATACAATATTTTATGTGATATATCTATATACATATAAAATAACGTTTTAATTTGCACATAAATAGTATTGATGCTTCAGTGTTACAGTGTGTATAGCTGCAATTTTATTAGCTGCAACTTATACAACGAGATGAAGATTAAGTCCGTAAATAACAAAACGTCCGAGTACCCATACAATTTATATAAATTTCATCGGAATAACAAAAAAAAAATGCAATTCTCCACCAGAGATATTGTTTTTTTTTCTCGCCACACAAACGAGTTCGCACGGTTTGGACTTTGAATATTCGTTCACAAAGCCTGATATATTATTATTGATTAATATTTTTTTTTCACTTTTAGAACAATGAAATTCGACTTGAACTTGTCGATAGGCAGTGGTAATATTAAAGAAAACGTTTTGTCGAGTAACATAATTCAAAGAGCCCCAGGGGTTTAGGTACACCACGTAACCTACAGCACCCGCAACAATTATTATTTTGCAGCGCATATGGAAATGGACGCATGGAATCGTTTAATACTTTAATATATCACTCATGGAGGTGGGGAATCGAATTATTACATAGACCGTAGACGGTTTCTTTATTGTCCTTCTATATTCGCTTTTTTTTGCTTTCAGTCCGACCATACGAACCTGCTTTACGAGTCTCCCACCAGTTGAAGGAAAGCCAAAGACCTGTCTCTTTGGCCGCAGTTGTCTGGCCGCGTGTTGGCGTTCGCTTGTGGTTTAATAACGTTGTGTTGTATAGACGTGTTCAAATTTTAAAGAATGTAGGCCTAGCCAGATTGGATTACTCAAGTCTCTACGGGATTCGGTTAACTATATAAAAGGTAAGATATTTTTATAAAGTATAAGTCTTACAATACACGAAACGAATTGCTGATTAATAATAATATTATACATTTAATTTCTTAAACATTTTTAATTCCCGATTAGATATTTTTTTTTTAAATTTCCTTTTATAAGTACGTACATATTAGTACCTATCTGCATTCTTTATATTTTGTTCAACTACTTATATAAAACCGTGAGTTACTTAAAGTATTTTTATTTAAATTTCAGCGTTAAAGTCTCTTGCACGTATAATATAATGAACATCATATAAAATATTATAATTTTGTTAGTTTAGAAATATAAATTTTATAATATTATGCAATGCTTTAAATATAAAACTCGTAAATAATTAACATAAATATGTTATAGGTAGTTATGAATGATTCATTAAATAAAACAAGAAATCGACAAATTTTTTATTACATAATCAGAATGGTATTATTACGACCTTATTAACATTTAAGAAATATATTCGTGACTCATGGGGTTAAGATAACTTTTGATTTTGATCAATTTTGTTTTGAAACTCTAATTTGATTAAGAATCTATTCTAATTTCTTTGTAACGAACTAGAGTAGCTTATTTAAATTTAAAAACCTATCGGCTATCACGTCATTATTACATTACCCATTAGGTACCTATGTTATATTATAATCGTATGTAATACAACTTAATAGGTATAATTCCAAAAGAATGTATAAGTACCTATTATAAATGTATTTCAATGGTTACGACCATAAATATAAATAAATAAACATCACAAGTTTATGTACTATAATACATATATATTATATACCTAGGCATAGTATAGGTGTTGTTGTATTCGTTTACAAATAAAATACGAATGTTCCAACGTAAGAACGAAATAAAAATAAAGCAATGCACCAATTCCTTAGATTTTTCCTTTCACTCGAACCGACGACCAGAGACCGTTTCACTTTCACGGCTAATGTGCCTTGCTATACTAGACCACAATATTCATTTTACAACTATATTATATACAGACACGTTGTATAGCGTGTATATACGCTAGGTGATACAAATTTTGCGACTACGAAAATGAAACGAACCGGACGCTGTATATGAAACCTATACAGTTCACATCAAGAACATATTATTATAAATAGTCCCGAAAATATCTCACACGTAAGAAACTTAGGAAATGTATAGAAAATAATACATAGGTAACTAAGAAAATATCGCACAGCACAAAGCCAATTATAGAGTTAAATTTTGAAAATCAGTATCTAAAAGTACGAAATTAATGAGGGTTTCAATAAGTCGGACGTTATGAGTGCATAAGGCTATTCTTTTACATCAGCTGTTTCATTAATGCCTGAAATGTTCCAAAAAAAATCCTCAAGATATTTATTATTAATTTTAGAATAGATGAGTGTTAAAATTAACATCATAGACGTGTGCTGCAAGTGAGTACCCGATAATCGAGGATAAAATATCACTTAGGTATCAATCGTATACTATTGGAGACAAAAAAAAATGTCGATGATATTTATTCAATATAACCTTTAGGGTTAAAGTCGCAATCTTTAGTAATACCTGTCTGTGGAATTTAAAATGTAGTGGAAACCGGTCCCTATGGTAATAGATAAGACGGCATTTTTTTTAAATTGAATATTAAATATTATGTTAGAAATACGAGTATACCTATTATATAAGATTCGGACAACGTAGGCGATAGTAATAAATAATGATAGTAATAATCATACCTTCATGCACCGCGGTATTTTTCGTGTTCCCGCTATTGGCGATTTTTATTTTGTTTTTAATTAACTTCATTTGTGTCCATCGCTAGCATTGTCTGTGCGCTATTATCATTATATTATATATTATTATTTTGTAATTTGTAAATCGTTGATTTAATTTCAATTCAAATCTCGCCCAGGGCCGCACTTCTCTAGACTCCCCCTCTCTAGCGTGACTTCAGGTCACCGCTCTACACAAGTCGAATAATATTGTTAAGACGTTTTGCGATCGCTAATGGGAAATTAAATACGTGTCGAGATATTATGTACATGGCAACAGACGCGATGGTATTCCGACTGCACTAGTCCTGACATTGACCGTTCCAGTCATTGTATGTTCCAAAACTTCGTTGGGTAGTTAAGAATCGTCATCGTACAATATAGAGTGTAAACCTCGGTCGCATAGATTATACTTAAAACATCATCATCATGCACCGTAAACGAATTATTTTTCTCTGTTTATTGTACCGATTAAATTGGACCACTGGCATACTTTTTCCTACACCATGACTACAGTTTAAAACCGGTTTAAAAAAGAAAAAAAAGTATTATTTTATTATAAAATCGTTTATAATTTGTTACACGTTTTAAGTTTTAATTAAGAACAACAAACAAATATTTAAATTAAAACAAAATGATAAACTATCTATTAGGTATGTAACAGTTTAAAATACATTTATTTTTGTAATACAATATTGTATTCATGAAATAATTAACGAAAATATAATAATATTATATAAAAAGTGTCCGCAATAAAATAATGAGTACCTTACTGCAGTATACTTTATACAAGAAATTTAAAGAATAATCGGAGTACAAAACAATCAAAATCGGTTGACACTAAGATAAATATTTGTACATGTAATATAATATTATATTATGTCTAATAAATAATAAAATTATATTATTACCAAAACGGCAAGACAATAGATATAGTTTTTGTTGAATATATCTGAAACATATTATTTTTTATTCATTAATTAGGTACTTAATTATATAAGTTGTTATCACAGTAATACAGTATAATAAAACAATGTATAAATGTTCCTCTCGCTAATGCAGTAATATTATTGATAGCTTATAGGTTTTGAATACTGAAAGTGAATTAGTGAAATATTGAATTTAAATTTAGTCTACCTAATGTTGGTGCCAAATAACTATAGCTTAGGTACCTATATTATAACATATTTTTATTGCAACATTCTATCCTCACGACATTATTCTGACGTAACATAAATTTTTCAAAATAGTTATGTAGGTACTATAGTAATAAAGAGTCATACCTATATAGGTACAACGAACATAATATGCAGGCACCTTAGAACCTATATAAGACTACATGTTACAACTATGGTCCATGGCAGATAACCACAGTTTTAACATTCTTATAGTAAAGGTCGTGAACAGGTCATAATATGTATACTCATTTTTACAAATGACTAATACATAATATTATACACCTCTTTCTCTTTGCTTATCCTTGAAACACAGTTCACGAGACATCAGTTGTAAACTTATTACTTTAAACAAGCCGAATTCGAATTAAAATAGCAAGTTCAATATCGTGTCAGATAAATCAATGAAAAAAAACATCGGAGACAATCAAAATATGTTTTGGCTCCACGTGTATCGGTTTATTGAATGGAAACTTGTGTACATGCATTAATTTCCATTGTTAGCTGTAAAATGGAAACAAAACGTCTGGCTAGTCTTTATTATTTGCAGAAACAATAATACTAATAACAATAATGAAATAAATTAAATATCTGATCCATAAAACCATTATTCGTGACTCATGAACACCGACAACTATAAGAGCGGGCTTGACTTATCTACGGGAAAAGTAAATAGAAAAATTAAAGGAAAAATTTAGAAAAAATTTAATAATTATTTATATCAATTTTTAGTAGAAAATATTATTCATACCTACCTATTTTTTAAGTAATATATTCAACACTTTAAACAGTTGTATCTATTATATTATTTACATCGCATGATTAATTATAAATAAACCTCAAAATACATTGTTTAGGACGTGTTTCCAAGCGAAACGAAACTCGAACTAAGTGTTAAGTGTTAACTCTCCAGTATACGCATACATTTTTAATACCTATGTTCCACAATAATAATTGAGTTTCTTAAGTGATCATGATATAACTATTAAATTATATAGGAAGGTACCTAAGTTTTAGTAATAATAATAAAACATAAAATTGTTCATTTAAACATATAGTTAGAAATTCGAATACCTACTAAGACTAAACAATATAGGATTCATTAATTATTAATTTTCTACCCATAACATTATTAGTGATATATGAAACATATATTTTATAAATAATTCATAATTTAACCAAGTAAAATATGGTTTTGAATGGATTAATGAGTATTTGCTACTTATACAGCTGCCTAGGTACACTATAAAATTAGAAAGTATACCTATAATAAACATTATTTTTGTAATATTATCTGTTTCATTTTTAAACACGGCTTTAAATTGTTTTCAGCACCATGACGTCGCGTTTGTCGTTCGTTCCATCGGTGAATAACATGTCTCACCAAAGACTTCACGACAGTGACGAAAATAATTCTTCGGACGATGACGAAAATTCACCTCTAACCCAAGACTTATATGGTGGAAGGTATTTTTCAATTTGTTTTAAAATATATATTATGACGTAGTGTGATTAAAACAAATTGGTTTGATGATTTAATGCCATGCATATTTTAGTCAAAGAACTTTGGCAGATACCAAAGCATGGGACGTTTTTCGAGATTTACCTCCGCGCAGCGACAGCGGATCTATGGCCAACCAAGCATGTCTCGAATTCACCATACGTGTGCTGAAAATCCTAGCATATTTGACCACATTCATCGTTGTCCTGTGTTGTGGCGTTATATCTAAAATTAGTATGTTCTTCATGACATCTCAAATCAGAGCTGATCGCGTCGTCACATTCTGCAATAAAGAACTTAGTAATTGATTGTTATACTGAGCTGCACTTGCGCTTTGAAATCAAGTATTTATAATCAAACCAACATTATATAACTCATTTTTCATAGGTCGTGATAAATTTTACGTTGTCAACCTCCCAACGGAAGAACGTGTCGCGTGGATATGGTGTTTGCTGTTGGCATTTATCGTTCCAGAAATTGGTACTTTAATACGATCTTTGAGAATTTGTTTCTTCAAGTCGTGTAAAAGACCTCCATTGTTTGATTTTGTATTTGTGCTAATTATGGAAACCCTTCACGTCTTTGGCTTAGTTTTGCTTGTGTATGTCGTACTACCAAATTTAGACGTAGTCAAAGGTGCGATGCTTACTAATTGTCTTTGTTTCATGCCAGCTTTGCTCAGTAAGTTTATTATTTTTTAAATTTATTTATAGAGCAATCGATAAAAAAAAGTTAAACTTTGCAGATTTATTATCGAGGACAACAAAAGGTTGTAAAACGAATTCGGAAAAGTCTGAAGTCTACGCAAAAGTCTTAATGGATCTAATTGCCGTAGGATCACAAGCCACTGGCTTCTTTTTATGGCCTTTATTACACCCGGAAAAACAAATGAATAACCTAGCCATCCCGATTTCAGTATTTTGTATTTCTTGTGGTTACTGGGAAAATTATACAACCAAAAATACATTTTTTGGTAGGCCATACTTTAAATTATAATGTCTATGAAATATTTTGAAAAGAACGTTGAGCAAATTTGTTTTTGAATTTTTAGGATTTATGAAGTTTGCATACCATATTAAAGACCGAATGAGAAGAACGCGTTATTTCATATACATGCTAATGTCTGTTTGGAAAATGTTATGTTTCATGTGTTTCATGTTAGTAGTTATGTTCTTTAAAGGTGAAAATGTTACACAAATCTTCTCATTAGTCAACGCTGGATTTTCACAACACAAGATACAAGTTCTCGAGGTAATTTATAATAGTTAAATTGTTAATATTACTGTAATTGATATTAAGATTATTATTTTGTTCACCCATTATTCAGGTAAATCAAGTAACGCGAAGTGGAACTATTTTACCAGATCTTGCCGATATAGTTACAACTGGAGATTCGGTTGACATCGATGCAGAATATGTAACTGCAATGCACGTACTTCTTTTACAAATTATTTCAGCATATCTTTGTTATATATTTGGTAAATATATTAATATAATTAAAATTGCTAGTGTCTAATGAGTTCACCATTAAATTAAATACACACAATATATTATAGTATGTGGGACTACCTTATTAATTATTTGCAAAATAAACTTTTCTTTATTGTTTTAAATGTACGATATTAAATGTTAATAATTATAAATAGTTATAATACTATTTACAATTGATAATACATTAATAACTACCATGATTTTATTTCTTTCACAGGAAAATTTGCTTGCAAAATTATGATTCAAGGATTCAGCTATGCATTCCCTGTAAATCTAACAGTACCAGTCACCATGTCTGTATTGATAATCGCATGTGGTTTGCGTCACGATGATCCTTGTTTTTTCCATAACTCTATCCCTGATTATTTATTTTTCGATACACCCGATGTCAATTTCTTAAACAATTTTATCACCAAAGAAGTGAGTTGCTTGAATCAATATTAATAATATTATGTAGCACATATTATAACTGTAATGTTTTTTTAGCATGTATGGGTATGGTTACTGTGGCTTCTATCTCAAACGTGGGTAACGTTACATATTTGGACACCTAAGTGTGAACGTTTAGCGACCACTGAAAAGCTTTTCGCAAGACCTATGTACGATTCATTGCTGATAGATCAATCGTTAGGAATGAACAGGAGATGGGACGACGAAAAAGACGTCAAAACTGAAGTAAGAATTTTTAATTGATTACATCTTAAATTATTTAATCTAACAACATTTATTCGTCAAGGACTTGGCTGACCGAGATAAAGAACCAGATGAATATTATGAAACAATATCTGTGCACACAGATGTTAGTAGTACAGCACCTAAAACTGTGAAGAAATCTGATAGTATTACTAGGATTTACGCGTGTGCGACTATGTGGCACGAAACTCACGAGGAAATGATGGAGATGTTAAAGTCGATCCTCCGAATGGACGAAGATCAGTGCGCCCGTCGAGTAGCCCAGAAATATTTGCGTGTAGTTGATCCAGACTATTATGAATTTGAAAGTAAGTAAAATATTCTGTATATTATGTAAACTGATCTAAGTTTAAAATATAATTTATTCAGCTCACATATTCATGGATGACGGATTCGAAATAAGTGATGAAAACGATGATTGGAATCAAGTAAATAGATTCGTAAAGCTTTTAGTAAGTACAATCGACGAAGCAGCAACTCACGTGCACGAAACGAATATACGCATCAAACCACCAACTAAATATCCCTCTCCATACGGTGGCCGTTTAGTATGGACGCTACCTGGAAAAACTAAGCTCACTGTACACATCAAAGACAAATCCAAAATCCGACACAGAAAACGATGGAGTCAGGTCATGTACATGTACTACTTACTTGGTCATCGATTAATGGAACTACCGATTTCCGTTGAACGGAAAGAAGTCATTGCTGAAAATACGTTTTTATTGACGCTCGATGGTGATATTGATTTCCAGCCACATGCGGTCAGGCTTTTAATAGATTTAATGAAAAAAAATAAAAATTTGGGAGCTGCTTGTGGTCGAATCCATCCAATTGGAGGAGGTAATCCTAGCAAATTAAATTCATTATGAACCTGATTTAATGATATTGTACCTATTTATTTATTGTATAGGTCCATTGGCGTGGTATCAAGTTTTTGAATACGCAATTGGTCATTGGCTCCAAAAAGCTACTGAACACATGATTGGTTGCGTTCTTTGTAGTCCTGGATGTTTCTCACTGTTCAGAGGTAAAGCTCTTATGGACGATAACGTGATGAAAAGATATACATTGAAATCTGACGAAGCCAGACATTACGTACAATATGATCAAGGTAAATAACGATGAACATGAAAACAATAAAAACTATTACTAATGAAATTACTTAAAAAATTAAGGCGAAGACAGATGGTTGTGTACATTGTTATTACAAAGAGGATATCGAGTAGAATATTCAGCTGCTAGTGACGCGTATACTCACTGTCCTGAAAGCTTTAACGAGTTTTATAATCAGCGAAGAAGATGGGTACCATCGACAATGGCGAACATCATGGACTTGCTAATGGATTACAAAAAAACGATCAAAATAAACGATAACATTTCAATGCCTTACATCAGCTATCATGTAAATATTTTCGTTTAAATTATTATAGTATACCTACCTACCTATCTAATGAGTGATTGTTTTTTACTAATCTGACATTTGATTACTTTTAGATCATGTTAATGGGTGGTACCATTTTAGGACCAGGAACTATATTCCTTATGTTGGTGGGAGCCTTTGTGGCTGTATTTCATATTGACAATTGGACCAGTTTCTATTACAATATCATACCGATAGTATTGTTTGTTTTCGTATGCTTCACTTGCAAATCAAACATACAAGTAAATTATAATTAGTAGCTTTATATGTATTTTTATGACACCTACTTAAAATTAAATATCAGTATTTAAAAATATATATATATTCGTATGCATTCGAATGATTTATTTTTTGTCCACAGCTATTATTGGCGCAAATTCTATCAGCTCTATACGCGTTAGTTATGATGGCCGTTATTGTCGGTACAGCTCTACAACTGGGAGAGGACGGTATCGGATCGCCATCTGCAATATTTTTAATCGCTATGATGAGTTCGTTTATAATAGCGGCACTTCTCCATCCGCAAGAGTTCTCTTGTATCATATACTTCGGTATATATTGGCTGTCTATTCCGTCTATGTATTTGCTTTTAATATTGTACTCCATTATCAATCTAAACATTGTCACGTGGGGTACGAGAGAGGTTCAAGTCAAAAGAACTAAAAAGGAAATGGAAGCAGAAAAGAAAGCCGCCGAAGAGTCGGAAAAGAAAAACAAACAAAAGTCAATGCTTGGATTCTTGCAAAACTGGGACCCAAACGAGGACAACGAAGAGGGTTCGTTTGAACTGTCATTCGCTGGACTTTTCAAATGCATGTTTTGCACTTACCAGAAACCCGTAAATGAAGGTCAACAGCTGGTGAGGATAGCCGATTCGTTAGAAGGTCTTGGTAAACGGATGGATCACATAGAAAAGTGAGTGAATACGTTTTAAATTAAGCAATTTAAGAATGAAGATTAATGTGGGAACCATTATAATAGGACTGTAATGGATCCAACATCGGTGAACCGTAAGAGAAACGCTTCGACCAGTAGCGTCCCACATCAGATCGCTCTGGATCCGGTCCAAGAAGAAAACTCTGAAAACGAGCATTCCGATACAGAAACTGACGATGAATCTTTAGGTAAGAGTTGTAACTTATTAATTATTAATTGCATTATTATATTTTGCTTGATTGTATAACCATTGTAACCTAAAATAAAAAAAAAATGTTTTGATTCGATTGCAGAACCCAGAGTGGAACGTAACGATGACATCAATCCTTTCTGGATCGAAGACAAATCGCTGCGTAAGGGTCCAGTGGCGTTTTTATCCACAGCCGAACAACAATTCTGGAGGGATCTAATCGACAAATACTTATATCCGATTGACGAAGATAAAGACGAAAAGGCTCGAATCGCGTCAGACTTGATCGAACTGAGAAACAAGTCAGTGTTTTCATTTTTCATGATCAACGCTCTGTTCGTGCTCATTGTTTTCCTGCTCCAATTAAACAAGGATAAGCTCCATCTGGACTGGCCGATAGGCGTCAAGACAAATATCACGACTGTAGCAGAGACGTCCGAGGTAAAAATTATTTTACATTTTTAGATTTTGTATTATGCCCAACATAATTGTATTATAAAATAAAACGATTACAGATCATCATTAGCAAAGAGTACTTACATTTGGAACCCATCGGTTTGGTGTTCGTGTTCTTTTTCGCATTCATCATAGTAGTTCAGTTCACCGCCATGTTGTTCCATCGGTTCGGAACACTGTCTCACATACTTGCCTCGACGGACCTAAACTTGTGTTGGAACAAAAAGGTAATTGCAAATGGCAAGAAATTCAATTTTTTTTTTTTTTTTGGTAAAATTATAAACGACCACTGTTTCTTGGTTTCAGACTGAAGATTTGACTCACGACGGTCTACTAGACAAACAAGCGGTCGTCATCGTCAAGCACCTCCAACGTCTGAGGGGCATCAATGGCGATTACGACAACGAGTCGGGTTCCAGTGGCGATAACGCTGTGGGCCGGCGGCGAACAATTTACAATCTGGAAAAACAACGGCAAAAGACCAGAACAATTGGCACGCTGGACGTTGCTTTCCGCAAGAGATTCTTGCAGATGAAAATGGGAGAGGACGAAGACGAACCGCAAGGTACAATATTACCTATTATTTATACATAAAATATTATTACAGACACATTTAATGTAACAAAAACTTGTGCCGTATCGAAATATTGTAGGCAAATTATAGTCAGTGGTGCAACTATCGAGGTGTTCCCGTAGTTCAAAGGGGAAACCCTGTGACTGCAGTTATTTTAATATTGTCTATTCGTTTAATCGATATCCTAAATTATTTCCTTCAACATTTATCATTTCTAAAAATGTATAGTAATGAATACCTATGTAAATCATTATCAAAATTATTAAGATTGCAATTAATCTGCCGTTAAATAAGAATGTAGATTTATATTATAATATATATATATATATATATATATGTAGTAACTAGTAGGGTTTCAACTATGATCTAAACGACTTAATGTCTTAATAATATATTTACTAAATTATGTAACTAAACAACAATATTATGTTGAACGGATATCGATCGACGTTAGAGCGCATTTACATGTTTCCCGCTTGTATGTACTGGGCTAGAGTTTTGAATTATGGTAGATAACTAAAATGTATACTGCACTGAATATCACTTAATTATTACTATAAAATATAATTTAGGTAGGTTTGCCAAATAACTAAACAAGTTTTATTTAAATACTAAAACATAATTTCTTGAGAGTTAAAAAAAAAATAATAAATAATAACAAAATGTTGGTATAAGTATACATTTGAACTTGAATATGATAATTGTTAGTTACAATTTAGAAGATTGGTTTACGTTGAAATTTGGTAATTGAAAATGTGTTAATTAAACCTTTGCAATTTAATTTGTTCAACATTTCATTCTTTATCAAGAGCAATGCTACATTTTTTACCAACTTTTCAACAGTTTTGGAGGATCTTAGATAGACTTTCCGCGTGTTAGGCATGAAAAGATCTTTCTGTAGTAAAATTAGTCACTGCGGTACACTCACGAACATTTTTAACTCTTTGTTAATATTTGGAAATATTTCAATACGTAAAGATTTTTGTCTCAAATACTTGCATAGTGTGATTGCAGAGTTACTCGCTGCTATTCACTGAGCTAATCAGATTTTCAGAATTTTCTAGTACTTATTAGCACATACCTACATCATATATTTTATAACATTAAAAAACACGAAAACGCAGGTACATATGATAAGTATCACCAAATCATTAAAATATCTGCAATCATTATGGAAAAAAAATTACCTTAAAAAAATGTCCAACTCTCAAAATGTTTCGCTGTTGGCACGTGCCTATTAGTGCCTGCACATAAATACGCCACTGAGTACAGATTCTATTTGGTACCTCCTACTCGTTGGTAAAAAATTAAAAACGTCAACGTAAAATAATACATTTTACATATTACCCATGTGATATTTAAATTACTAAGGTACTTATTTAACCGTTCTAATCGTCAACTCAGTTTTTAACTGGAAACTTTATATTAGGCGCCTGTTCATTCAAAACCTATAATATATTATATCGCCGTTCGTTGTTTATTACAGGTGGCACGCCGGTGTTGGGCCGGAAACTGACGATGGGCAAGGAAGTGCGGCAAGCGCTCGAGGTGAGGAGAAGGTCTATGCAGGCGGAGAGGCGCAAGTCTCAGATGCAGACGCTGGGCGCGAGCCACGCGTTCAACCAGACTCAGAGGCAGTCGAACGCAGGCATCAGCGTCAAGGACATATTCAAGGGCAGCCAAAACCTTGCGTACGAGCGTGACGACGGGGACGGAGACGACCGGCTGCCCATGCACGCCATCAACTGAAACCGAAACGACGGCGGACGAGGGGGAAAACGAGCTCGACGGACGGGGAAAAAAACGATCCCCGACGGAGCGTTTCTAGTCAAAAAAAAATAAACAAATCTCAGCACGAAGCGCTGTGTATCGTATACTGCAAAATAATATAATATCCTTTTTATTATTCCTTTTACCCGTTTGCGGTCTCTTTTCTCTCCCTCGATCGCGTTTTCGAACCACGACGGAAAACGGAAATTCGAAATTCGACACTGAACTGCGCCTATACCTATGTAATGACGGCCCGGACGAGTTTCTTACGAGTACCACCCACTCGTCCACGTGGTACACATACTCAAATACTTAATTTTTATATTTTATAAAATCGTTTTTAGTATAATAATATAATATATATATACTTTACCATGACATGAAAAATATGTACACAATAAACACTATTGCTCATTTTGTACCACAGCTTACGTATTATTGCGACATTATTTCGTTTTCACTTATATGCCATTAAGAGGACGTTGTGCTCCAGCCTCAATATTATAAATAAATAATATTATAATATGGCGAGTACTATGCTCCTTCACTACAGATAAGAAGACTATTATTCATAATTTTAAACTTTTCCGTTATACGTATAGGTACCATATTTTCCTACTTTACGGGACACACTTTTTTGGGGGGACGTGAGTGATGCCACCACTCTCTCGCTGCACTGCGCTCGGACAAAAAATCGAAAATATCCCTCGACTTGCCATGCGACACCACCTCAAGTTGGTCACAGGGTAACCGCCGTATGTCCAATCTTAATCCGTATTATACGCGTTATTATACGTATATCAAAATTTAAACAAATTGAATAGTCGTTATAAAATTAAGGAGGATATACGGCGGTTACCCTGGAACCAACTTAAGGTGGGGTTGGATAGAAAGTCGAGGGATATTTTCGATTTTTTTTGACCGAGCATCACACAGTTGGCGAGTGGCGGCTGTAGTAAATTTGCACCAAAATTGACCCTAAATATATACATGTCTAATTTGCACCATTTTTTTAAAATGCGTTTGTAATTTGCACCAAAATAAGGATATGTATAATTTGCACCATCCTCAGGTAGTAAGAAATAGGAATTGTAATTTTCACCAAATTTAAAATCGATTATTTTTTGGATAGTATCTCAATAATACCAACTTACAAGTTTCTATATGTTAATATAAATTTAGCATAGTTTTTATTTATAAAATAGCTGAACTTATACACATATTGTTGTAATTGTATATAAAATCGTATTAATATGTATATAAAAAAAAGTTAGACAATTAAAATTTGGTTATATTTATAATAATACGATTTTATATAAACTCACAACAACATGTGTATAAGCTCAGCTATTTTATAAATAAAAATTAAACTAAATTTATATTAGGATATAGAAACTTGTAAGTTGGTACTATCGAAAAAAATAATCGATTTTAATTTTGGTGCAAATTACAATTCCTATTTCTTACTACCTGAGGATGGTGCAAATTACATATCCTTATTTTGGTGCAAATTACAAACACTACTTTCGACTACATGCAGTGGTGCAAATTACATATCTTGAATTTGGTGCAAATAGCAAATTACAAACTCTCCGAGTGACAACTTGTCATCACCGCAGTGCCGCAACTACTGGGTGTGCAAGGTGTGCAATGCACACGGGCCTCCAGCTCTAAGGGGCCTCTGAAACCAAAATCTAAAATTGAAAATTGTCTATTTAAATATTTTTTTTGCTTTATTATGCTGCAAATATTTTTAGATTTTATGTTCTTGCATCTTGCTTTAAAAATAAATTAATCATAGACATAGTTATTAAAAAATATATAGTATGCAATACCATTGATTAAATATACTAGTATACTAGTATATTTAATCTATGGCAATACAGACTACAGTGCCAAATCATAATAGTAAAATAATAGACAATAGTAGGTACTAATAGTCTGCGGGTATACATGGCGATACTCGCGGCGAATTCCGCTGTCATCGAAAATCTATATGATTAATATAAATAAATCGGCCGCAGGCTATACGAGTTCGCCTCGAATTAATCCGCGATTGAAATATTCGCGGTCGGCTGACGATTTTTTTCAAGACCGCCCAATCCGTAAAACCGCAAAACCGTCTATTTATATTAACTTTTAATGATAGCGGCTATACGGGTATTTTGGTTTAGCGAATTTCACGGCGATTATTATCACGGCGAGTATTATTGTAAAATCGTAAATATCATAAACATAATATAACATAACATAACATAATAATTATATTATTCCACAGGGTACAAAATATATATAGAAGATATATAATATATAAATTATAAAGTGTATGTATATATATGTATGAAATATGTTTTAGGGAGGCACGACATTTGTAGTTGTCTAAAGAGGGAAGCATAGCCCTCCTTTAAAAAAAAAAACAAAGAACAAAGAGTAGGTATATAGAGGATTTATTAATATATATAGTAGTATACGTCATAATACATATAATATATGTATTATATCTAAGTATACCATAGACTTACATATAATAGTATTATATATAATACATATAATATATATACATGTATTAAATCTATTACATTTATTTAATTTAGAATTTAATTGTATAATTTAAATTACATAGGTAGTAATTTTTATATTTATTATAATTATTAATTGTTTGATTTTATTTTAATTAGTTTTTATGAGAGTAGCTTTTTTTACTTTATAAGAACGTAAAGTTTTAGGTTATATTCAATTACGTAAAGGTCCTAATAAGTTTTTTACTAAAGGTATCTTGTTCGATTGGAAAGTGAATATCATTTTTGCATTGGGGAGGTCAAAATTTAAAATTCCCAGTAATTTTCAAAAGTGCTAAGAAAAACAAAAGAAAAATTAAGGAAAAACGGGAATTTTTAAGCAAAATCAAATTTGGTTTTTGGAGTAACTAAAAATATCAATACAATTTTATTTGTTGGTTAAAAAAGCTTGAAAATTTAATAGAAGGCTCCTAGTATTTTTTTTCAAAGGATAATGAAAATATTAAAAATCTTTTGTCACAGTTTTTTTTTTTTATAAGCATTTAAAGTTCAAAAACAAGCGGGTAAGTACTAAGTAGATGTCGCTCTGCTATACAGTAGATTACAAGTGCGTCAATGTATAATCTATTGTATTAAAATTGAATTCAATGATATTTTATCATTGTATAAGAAAAACGATTCTGAGCGGAAACGGTTTGTCAGCCTAGATATTATACAGGGTGTAACAGAAAGATATGGCATATACATATACTGGAAATGTTCCTAAACAGTTCAAAACAAATCAAAATGTTTTGAAAATTTTATCATGTATAGAAAATGCAAATATAAACTACCAGTGAAAATTTCATATATATATGTTTATTTGTTTTAGAGTTTAACCAAAAATAAAAATCGATTTTGTCATATTATCTTTCTGTTACACCCTGTATATTGTCATTAATTATTATATCATGTAAGTTGAATTAATATTATAATATTATTATTTTATATACGTTTCTATGGTAATAAACAAAGCGTTAGAAATTAAAATATATATTTTAGAGTTTTTTCGTAATTTTTTGGTGGTTTTTACAGTGGCATTAAATAACTATTGTTAAAATCAAAAAATGACCTCTATAAAGTACCATCTTGATCCAATTTTCTAAAAGATAAGATACTATATATTGAAATCGAAACATTCCTTCTGGTAGAAATTTTGTATACAGGATATAAAAAAAAAAAAATAAATAAAAACCATTGTAAAACCACTAGCTTCCTCGCTCCGCTCAGAATCTAAAATTGACAAAATATGGAAAAATCACGAAAATTAGCAAATTATTTTGAGTTTGGAATTCGTAAAAATTTTTTTTTTAAATCTTACATTTTAAAATGTAATAAAAGATTTATTATAATATTATCTACCTTTTTCAAAAAAAAAATGTTCATAAGAAAGTCAAATTCAATTTTTATGAGCGTTTGAAATTCAAATTTTTACAACATTGGATATTCACTCGATTTCTCATGTAGCGATTTCCTTATTTTGTTGTAATTCAAAAACGAATAACTATAGATACATGACAATTCCACTGATATTTGTGATATTTTATTTTATGACACAATTCCATTTCCTATACAGCATACAATTTTGAAAATATTTTGACTCTTTTTGAGCTGTTTAAGGACATTTACCGCTTTCAATTTTCTTTAGTTTTTTTTTCTATAAATATCAATTAAGTTTTATCTGTTGGCCCAAAAAGTGTAAAAATGTAATACAAGACTCCTGATATATTGTTACAATATCAGTTGAAAAATAATAAAAATACATAGGCACAGTTTTTTTTTATAAGCATTTAAAGATCGAATTTTGACAAAATTTATCAAAATCTCGAAAATTATCAATCATTGTAATTAATAAATTATAAAATGTTCAGTTTTATAGCTAAGGATTGCAAATTTAAAACAAAGGTTCTCATAAATAGTTCATAATGTAACCAAAAAATCTAAAAAATATATGAACACAGTTATTTTTTACAGACATTTTAAATTCAAATTTGGACGAAATTACATATTAAAAAAACCTAGAATAACTATTTTAGTTATTTGGTTGTGATTGAATAATATTATTTGTAGGTACTTGAATCTTCTAAAGTGTACTATTATATATCTATGATAGTATCAGGGTTCGTTGTTGATGTATAACGCGTTATAAGTAGGTACCTAATGAATTTTTGATATGATTAATTTGTAATTTATTATAGGTACCTATTATAGAACAATTTTTTTTAATACCATAGATAAGTATATAATATGTCTGATACCTAGACTAACATACCGTCTCCGCTCAGAATCGTTTTTCTTATACAATGATATTATATTATTGAATTCAAATGTAATACCATCCATTATACAGTGATCCACTTGTAACCTACTGTACAGGAGAGCACCTTTTTTTAGTTTAAAATATAAATTTAAATAACAATT